ACCTTTTCCTTTTCTTCCCCACGCATCCCAAGAGTAACAAATGTGCACTCCTTTTGCTATAAACCTCACTCTTCTGAAGAGGAAAAAAGAAAGGGAACCTGTTAATTACCAAGTGTCTCATATGTATCAAGCCCTATACTTGGTCCTTTAACATGTATTATTGCATTTAATTTTCTAAATTACTGTGCAGTATATTATTTAAACCTCCATTTTGCAGATGAAGAAACAGATGCTGACAAAGGTACAATTTGTTTGAGGATGCACAATTAAGATTCAAACCCAAATCTACATGTCCCTAACTAAGAGCTTTGCTCTTTTCTTTATGTGAGGTTACTACTATTGGTTGCAAAGTCATTATCTGAAAGAGAAATAACCTAGGTGGCTAGATACATATGCATAGTTAGCCACAGTCCAGGGAATGAAGCATGTTGACAAGCTAACAAATAGTAAGCACTGTTGAGGTACACAACCTCTGCCAGGTTCAGGGCTAGGCACTGGGCATGCAGTGGTCTCTACTCTTGGGAATTTTATAGGTCTGTCTATATTGCCAACTTACCCAGAAGTTTAGAGGATTCAGGCACATTCTTTGTGATACTTTGCAAGAGTGTCTGGCTGCAGTATGCCATACCTAAGAGTAGCTCTAATTTTCTGAAAACATATTTATTCTTTTACTTTATCTTTTAAAAGGTAATTACATATGCTACAGGAAACTGTTGATTACAGGGGAAAATTGATATAAGGTCTGACATTGTTCCTGGGTAATGACATTTAACTCTCATTAGGTAGTTTTACACATAAGCACTGACTTCTTCAAAACGGTCCAGAGTCTATGCTTTTGTACTCTAATAAAATCAAACAGGAGGCAATCCCTTTGAAAACTGGCACAAGACAAGGATGCACTCTCTCACTACTATTATTCAGCATAGTACTGGAAGTTCTGGCCAGGAAATCAGGCAAGAAAAAGAAATCAAGGATATTCAATTAGGAAAAGAGAAAGTCATATTGTCTGTATTTGGAGATGACATGATTGTATGCTTAGAAGACCTCATCACCTCAGCCCAAAATCTCCTTAAGCTGATAAGCAACTTCAGCAAAGTCTGAGGATACAAAATCAATGTGCAAAAATCACAAGCATTCCTATACACCAATAACAGACAAACAGAGAGCCAAATCATGAGTGAACTCACATTTACAATTGCTACAAAAAGGATAAAATACCTAGGAATACAACTAACAATGGATGTGAAGGACATTTTCAAGGAGAATTACAAACCACTGCTCAAGGAAATAAGAAAGGACACAAACAGATGGAAAAACATTCCATGTTCATGGTTAGGAAGACTCAATATCATGAAAATGGCCATACTGTCCAAAGCAACTTATAGATTCAATGCTATCCCCATGAAGCTACCATTGACATTCTTCACAGAATTGGAAAAAAAAAAAAACACCTTAAACTTCATATGGAACCAATATACAGCCTGCATAGCCAAGACAATCCTAAACAAAACAAAACAAAACAAAGCTGGAGGCATCAGACTACCTGACTTCAAACTATACTACAAGGTGACAGTAATCAAAACAGCATGGTACTGGTACCAAAACAGAGATATAGACCAATGGAACTGAACAGAGGCCTTGAAAGTAATACCACACATCTACAGCCATCTGATCTTTGACACACCTGTCAAAAACAAGCAATGAGGAAATGATTCCCTATTTAATAAATGGTGTTGGGAAAAGTGGCTAGCCATGTGCAGAAAACTGAAACTGGAACCCTTCCTTAAACCTTATACAAAAATTAACTCCAGATGGATTAAAGATTTAAACGTAAGACCTAACACCATAAAAACCCTAGAAGAAAACCTAGGTAATACCAATCAGGACATAAGCATGGGCAAGGACTTCATGACAGAAACACCAAAAGCAATGGCAACAAAAGCCAAAATAGACAAATGGGATCTAATTAAACTAAAGAGCTTCTGCACAGCAAAAGAAACTATCGTTAGAGTGAACTGGCAGCCAACAGAAGGGGAAAAAAAATTTGCAGTCCACCCATCTGACAAAAGCCTAATGATATCCAGAATCTACAAAGAACTTAAAAAAATTTACAAGAAGAAAACAACTCCATCAAAAAGTGGGCAAAAGATATGAACAGACACTTCTCAAAAAAAGACATTTATGCAGCCAGCAAACACATGAAAAACTCGTCATCACTGCTCATTAGAGAAATAGAAATCAAAATCACATTGAGATACCATCTCATGCCAGTTAGCACGGTGATCATTAAAAAATCAGGAGACAACAGATGCTGGAGAGGATGTGGAGAAATAGGAATGCTTTTACACTGTTGGTGGGAGTGTAAATTAGTTCAACCATTGTGGAAGACAGAGTGGCAATTCCTCAAAGATCTAGAAATAGAAATACCATTTGACCCAGCAATCCCATTACTGGATATATACCCAATGGATTATAAATCCTTCTATTATAATGACACATGCACCCATATGTTTATTGTGGCACTGTTCACAATAGCAAAGATTTGGAACCAACCCAAATGCCCATCAATGACAGACTGTATAAAGAAAATATGGCACATATACACCATGGAATACTATGCAGCCATAAAAAAGAATGAGTCATGTCCTTTGCAGGGACATGGATGAATCTGGAAATGATCATTCTAAGCAAACTGACACAAGAACAGAAAACCAAACACTGCATGTTCTCACTCATAAGTGGGAGTTGAACAATGAGAACACATGGACACAGGAACTGGAACATCACACACCAGGGCCTGTCTAGGGATAGGGGACTAGGGGAGGGATAGTAGGGGATGGACAGCATTAGGAGAAATACTTAATGTAGACGACATGTTGATGGATGCAGCAAACCATCATGGTGCATGTATACCTATGTAACAAACCTGCACGTTCTGCACATGTACCCCAGAACTTAAAGTATAATTAGAAAAAAATAAAAATAATTTTTAAAAAGTCAATTTGTTAAACTTCTAATGAAAGATAATTTAATTTGTATGCTTTGAATAAACAGGATGAGAAAAAAGAGGGAAAGGCTCTCTGTTCATTCCCTAAGTCTTGATATGGGGTTTTGGCAACAAGCCTGCCTTGCCTAGACAGAGGTTTCAAAGCCATGGTTAGAGACATGTTAGGGCTTAGGCCACATGATGTTTATTAGGTAGGTGGAGCTCTGGAAGCCAAGTGAAATGAGGTGTCTCAGACCATCAAAAGCCAGCAGCAGCTGTCATGGAGATTTTAAATGCCTATCATGGGAACTTAGTTCAAGAGGAGGGCTACTTCTTGGTTCCTGACAATATTTTTCTGTTTTGTGGGCAAAAGGGGAGATAAGAAAGTTGTCCAGATCAGTATCCTGGTCCTGTTACCGTGGCATTGAACTTCCTGGTCATGAGGGATATGAGAATACTGATGTTTTTTGTTCTCAGTGAGAAGAGTGCATAGCAAGTGGAGGGAAGCATGCCTACTGAGGCCAATACCATTGCCAGTGAACAAATCAGCACAGAAGAGAGTATGTTTATCTTATGCAAACATGGATCTTGTAGCCCACTTTCCTTTGAATGAAGGAATGTGAAAGAATGGCCCAGTTGATGATGGAAAAAGGTGCACTTAAGCAAGAATGCCAGCTAGGATGACTTAACCTATCTCTTTTGGGGACCTTTAGTGAAGAGTGGTGACCTCTCAAGGTACACATGTACACTCTCCTCTCGTCTGACTTATAGTACACATTTAGGACTTTTGGCACTTTTAGAAATCACTTGAAATTCACCCTAGTATGAGGTCATGAGTAAGTAAAAAATACCTCATGCTACCTTTCTTTTTGAGTAGTATAAGCCCCATGTATGAATTATTTGAGCCCCTTCATTAAAATTCCTCTTTGTAGAAGACAACCTTTCTGCATGCTTAACTCTGTCTTATTTTGTATAGCTCTTCAGAATGGTTTGATGGACCTTAGCACCTTTAATCCTTCCAAAAGCTATGCATGGTAGGGGAAGAACATGCTATCCCTTTTGCTTATATTAAGTAATCGAGGCCAAAACAGATAAAAATGATACATCACAGATTGCAGGTTGAAAAGGTAAGAGCCAGGTAGGGTGACCAATTATCCCACTTTGCCCAAAACTGTTCCAGTTTTAGCACAGAAGATTCCACATTCGAGGAAATCTCTTCGTCCTGAGCAACAAGATTATTGGCTATCCTATAGCCAGGATTAGAATCCAGATCTCCTAATTTTAAGTCCAATGCTAGTTCTGTTGCCATATGCATCTGTCTTCCAAGAACTTATCTGAGTAATGTTTCTCTTTCTGTGAACCTTAGTGCACCAAGATATTTCTACGTGCTGGGTCATTCTCCCCTCCCATTCTGCCTAGGACAGAAGCAATGGCAGCTAGTGGTCCTCAGAGGCACTGAGACCACTGTTGGCAAAGAGAAACCATGTTTCAGCTTTCTCAATTACAAAATAAAGATGATAATCCCTATACTGCTGACCTCACATGGATGTTGTATAGATCAAATAATAATAGATATGAAAGTAGTTTCTAAATTGTTATGATCTGTTCACATATGAGGGCTTGTGATTATTCTGTACCTCCTGGGCAGAAGCCAACTCCTTGTCTTACTATTCTCTTTACAAATTCAGCTCCTGGTATAGCCACTGACTGTGAATTTGAGCAAATAGCTTGGTCTCTTTGCCTCAGTTTCTTCATCTGTAAAATGTAGCTAATAATAATTCTTAACATGATTGTTTTGAGAATTGAATGAGTTATTACATGCAAAGCATTGACAAGAGTTCATGGCATATGGTCAGAACAATATAAGCATTAACTCTTTTGTGTTGGCTTCCTCAGCCCCACTGTCTCAGAGTCAGAGACTAGATTAAGAGGACCCAGAAACCAAGTGACATGGAAGCCACTACTTACAGTCTCTTCCCACTGACTCCCTAGTTCTTGTGTTCTGTACACACAGCCTTCCCACCATGGATTGCCAAGAAAATGAGTACTTGGACCAATGGGGACGGTGTGTCACCTGCCAACAGTGTGGTCCTGGACAGGAGCTATCCAAGGTAAGTTCTCCTAGTCAGTACACTTATTTTTGTCACATCTTAGGAACTAGCCTGGCAACTGAAAGAGGCCAAGATTAGGGAAGTTAGCACTACTTATGACTGATCCAGTTCAGCAGGTAAAAACTGGGATCCACAGAGTATGCATTATCAATCATGGTTCCAGCATGAAGTCAGCCTAGCAGGATCAGGGTCAGGGGAAGTTTCCATGAGATAATAGGGTATTTCAAGAAAAGATGTCTTGTGCAGAGATCCATGAGGACTGTTAAGCATTAGGGAAACTGTTAGCTAAAGCAAAGCCCAACCACATAGTGCTGAAGAGCCAGATATCAGATCTTAGGAATGAGAAAGATAGAAGAACCAAGTAGTGCAGATCCTCTGAACTCCAGCCTCTGTTCTAGAGGATCTGCACTACTGAGGAAGCTGTGCAATGGAGAATTTAGGGATAGGGAACCAGGGAGGGTCTAAAATCCCAATTAAAGATAAGGATCAGAACAAAATGACCAGCAAGGCAGAGACTTTATGCAACCTACTTGTTTTCAAGCCTGGATCTGCTTAATTGTTCTTTCCTCAGGTCCTTTGTTGGTCCTTGAACCTTGAACCTGGGGGTGATATTAAATTTTGGCTGCAGCTGGGGCTACAGAGTCCAGAAGCAGACAGCTAGCAGATGTTTTCTGCATACTCATGCCCTATTTTATACAATTGCTTGTTCATTCAGCAATTGCTTATTGAACATTTGCAAAGTGACAGGCATGGTTGTGGATACCATGGATATGGCAAAATGGACAAAAAATATTTGTCCTCATGGACCTTTTATTATTAGTGAAAAAAATAATAATTGAGACACATACACAGATAAATAAAGAATCTAGATATGAAGATATGAGAAGAATCAAATTAGAGTGATGTGATACAGAGTGACTGGGTGGCTACTTCAGCTTATGAAACAGGGAAAGGTCTCCCTAAGGAGACACTCTTTGAGGAGAGGATACTATTGCAGAGTCCCAAGGTGAAATGAACCAGGCATATTGAAGGAAAAGGGAGCAATGAGTGTGTGATGAATGAGAGGGAGAGTAGTACACAAAGAGGTCAGAGAGAGAGGTATGGACCAGACCAGATAGGGGCTTGAGCTCTATGAGAAATGTTCATTTTTCTCTAAGTGCACTAGGAACTCTTTGGAGGATTTTGGGTGGGAAAGTTACATGAGTCTGTGGCTATAAAACAATATAGCAGTTATCTAGCCCACTTTCTTTCTACCTTTGTATTTTAAAAAATGAAGAGAATAAGGCCCAGGGATATCAAGGGATACAAGTACGAATTCTAATTTTTTTTTTTTTTTTTTAGATGGTATCTCCCTCTGTCACCCAGGCTGGAGTACACTGGCTCACTGCAACCTCCATCTCCTGGGTTCAATCCATTTTCCTCCCTCACCCTCCCTAGTAGCTGAGACGACAGGTGCATGCCACCATGCCCAGCTAATTTTTGTGTATTTAATAGAGACTGGGTTTCACCATATTGGCCAGGCTGATCTCGAACTCCTGACCTTGTGAGGAGTTTGGAAACTGAGGCAGAACTCCCATCTGCCTCAGCCTCCCAAAGTGCTGGGATTACAGGCCTGAGCCACTGCTCCCGGCCCACTAATTCTAAGTCTTTATTCATGGTATTATGTTCCATAGTGGGATACCCACATGGTTAATAAACGATCCCAGAACCAAGGAAAGATTACCAGAGGTTAGATAATGCTGGACATTAAAATGGATATTAAAGCACACATATATATAAAGCTTGCATTAAATGGATATTAAAGCACATATGTAAAATGCACATATATAAAACACTTACATAAAATGGATATTAAAGAACATACGGATCTAAAGCTTCTGTATATAGTATATGTGTACGTATACTATACACAGAAGCTTTAGATCCGTATGTTCTTTAATATCCATTTTATATAGTATATCCATTTTGTATAGTATACATACACATATACTATATACAGAAGCTCTAGATCTAGATACACATGTGTGTATATACATACACACATATACTATATAGAAGCTTTAGATCCAGATACACGTAGGCATGAGTCCCATCTTTGCTCTGGGCAGATTATTTCACCTCAGAATCAATTAGGATGTATTAAGTTGAAAGTAACATAAAATTTAACTGTGACCTGAACCATATTTATTTATGTAATGAAGTCTGGAGACAGGCAGCCTTTTTATTTGTTAGGCAGATCAGCAATGTTATCAAGGACTCAGGCTCTTATAATCCTTCATTTTGGACACCTTGCTGTTTTGTTCTCATGATTGTGGTCTCATGATTGCCAAACGCGAAGCATATCTTCACACAATAGTCAAAGTCAGGAATCAGTTGCAGGGTCAAAATAGCTTGCCTTTTATCGGGAAGAAGACTTTTCCTAGAAGCTGTCCAACAGATTTTTCCTTATATCTTGTGGTCTATAACTGGGTGATGTAGCTATCCCTATCTGGAAGAGAGACTGGGAAATAAGCATATGGCAAATGAGAATGGGATTGTATGATTAAGACTGATCAAGAATCCATTCTTGAGACTGGTCATCATGCTACCTAGAATGAAATCAGTGTTTTCATAGTAAGGAAGAAGAAGGGCATTGATGTTTGAATAAGCAGCTAGAAGCATCTGGCTAAAGTTACTTCTATTTACTTTTTAATTTTATTCATGAGTTATAAGCATCACTGTAAATAAATAATTGCAGAAAATTGACACCATTTCCACAGGACATTTTTCTTGATGTGTAATTGCAAAGCTAAATAATGCATACAATTTTAAGACGCTTGAAATGTATCAGCAGATAACACTTCTGAATTTTTTCACTAATTTTCCATTACAATTACATTTATTTTCAACAGTGCATAGAATTCCCATGTCCCAGAAGCCTAACCGCACATGATAATACATATTTTCATCATCTATTAATTTTATGCCTTCCTTTATAGTATTAATTACTAATTTATGAGGACTTTATGAGAATTTTGTTTTTACTTTTTTTCTATTTGATAGGGGAAATGTACCGACTTTATTGTGTTTATTTATCCATTTGCATTTTCAATTTTGTGATCTGTTTCTTATTGTTTCTCTTTCTATTTATTTATTGTTCTTTGTCTACTCACCTAATGAACTTAAGTAGACAGACATATAGTAGATAACAAAGTATTGTAAAAAGCGTTTATATAAAATTATAAAATATATTAGCATGTGTATGTATTTGTACTTAAAAACCAGAAATGATTTTACACTTTGTTTCATTTTATCATCTATTGATTTTTTAAATATATTTTCCATTTGATGTATTAATTTGATGACATATATTAATAAATTCTTAAAATTTAAATATCTTGCATTCCCAGTATAAACCATTCTTGATTATAGGTTTAAGGTAAATACCCTTTTATGTTGTATAAGTTAGTATTTTATCTAGAACACATAATTATTCTTATAGCACTATCAGCATCAAAATTTTGGATCAGCATTGTGCAACCATGATAAAATTAAGAAGGTCAATGTTTTCCGGTTATAAAATTGATTAGTAGCAAAAGAATTTTTGCACTTTAATCATTTGAAAGAAATTCCTTTGGCTCCTAATTGTGAAGGAAAATTCTTAATAAATTTTTTAAGAATAATTTGCTCCTTCCTAATTTATTTAAAAATGATTCATTTATTTAAGAAATTTTTATTGAGTACAATTGGATAGTCTTTGGTTTTATTTCACTATGCCAATCTCTGTCTTTTAATTGGCTTATATAGATCATTTATATTTACAATAATTATTGATATTTTAGGATTAAGCCTGACATTTTATTCTTTTTTTTGTTTTCTCTGTTTTTTGTCCCTCTATTTGTCTTTTCTTACATTCCTGCGGGTTACATGAACATTTTATTTAGGACTCCATCATGATTTATTCGTAGGGTTTTTGAGTGTATCTCTTTGTATCATTTTCTTACAGGTGGTTCTGGTATTAAAATATACATATTACTTTTTCATTGTCAACTGGTATCAACATTTTGCCATTTCAAGTGAAGTACTGAAATGTCTATTCTCTTTAGTTTCCTTTACTTTCCCCAGTATTAAATATCATTGTCACAAATATCAGATATAATTTTTGTTAAATTTGTTTTAGTCATTGACTATGATTTATGAAATATATGAAGAGAAAGATAGTACATTTTATATATCCATATTTTTTCTCTTCCAGAGTTCTCCCTTCCTTCCTGATGCTACAAGAGTTCTTTTATCACTTCCATCTTTTAAATCATTTCATTTCTGTTTTATGAACTCCCCTTAGCCATTATTTAAGAGTAGGCCTACTAGCAACTTACTGTTAGTTTTTCTTTGCCTGAGAATATTTTTATTTCCCTTTACTTCCAAGGATATTTTCACTGGATATAAATCTGCAGTTGACAGTTCATTTCAGTACTTGAAAAATGTGATACTTCCTTCTGGCCTCCATGGCTTCTGATAGAAATCCACTGTTGTGTCTTTTGAATGGGTGTTTTCTATAATGTCATTTCTTTTTGGCTATTTTCAATATTGTTTTATTGTCTTTTGTTTTCCGAAGTTTTATGATGTGTATTGGTGTGCATTTCTTTGGATTTATTCTATTTGGAGTCTGTTCATCCTCTTTAACTTGTAGGTCTTTTTGCCAAATTTGTGAAGTTTTCTCCCAATTTATTTGAAAATATTTTTAGATACACATTTTTAAAAATGTTCTTTTCCTAAGATTCTGATGATATGATTGTTCTATAATTTGTTGTAGTCTCATAGGTTCTTGAGGCTTTGTTCATTTTATTTTGTCTGTTTTCTTTCTATTGTTCATGTTGCATAAATTCTATTGTTCTTGCCTCAAGTTTACTAATTCTGTCATCTGTCTCTTCTCTGCTACTAAGCCCATCCAGTGAGGTTTTCTTTTTAATTTCTGTCATTTGATTCTTAATAATTACCATCTGCTTATTTAAAACAAA